GGTTGGCGAAATCATTTTTTTTTTTTTTTTTTTTTTAATGTCTCGGCGTGAAAGTTGGTTCTGTGAAAGTTGGTCGTTTTTTCCCGAGATGGATGTGGGGATGTTATCCTTATTACCCTAATTTCAGGGCTATTTGTCCCTTTTCGGAGGGATGAAATAGAATAAAATGGAGCCTCTGATTCTTGTCCGTACCCCTGGGAGGAAATGTGTGAACTGACAGCGAGAGAAATGTGAAATATATTCCTTTTTTCTCCCCCGATTCGGTTTTATTGATCAATGACATTCGCGATTTTGACACTTGCCCGAGGAAGAGCCACGATAATGCATAGAATTACAAGCCTCAGAAATGTTCTTTCTCTTCTCCTAATCAATAATTTTGCAGAAAATGGAGTTGTAAAAGGGTAAATGAGGGTGGTTTAGGGTAAACTTGCTGACCTACAAAACATCTTGGGGGTTATAAATGTATTGATATTTATTCACTATTCGTTCCTTCCAGCTGTTCTTGTGCTATGGGCTTATCTGGGGTTAAGTCTGAAAGATATTGTTGTGTTGTGAATGTCCTTTAGTGTAGAATGTATTTCTTATAAGCCAAGTAATTGCTTTGTCCCAAAAGAACAGCTGTTTTGTTGGGTTCTGTTTAGAATACAAAGTTTTCAATTTAAATGGCTTGTTTTTTGGATGAAAGTGCATTATCTGCTTTGTTTTATTACCGTTTCAGTTAAGGACATATGGGGAAATATAATGGTATTTTAGAATGACAAATATTTCCTTCCTCGTAAGAAGTTTATTTTATCCTAGACTATCCATTGATCTGTGAAAGTTATTTATATTTTGGTTTACTTTTAGGACACTTAATAACACAAATTCAATAACCATTTTAAACTATGGCCAACTCTCCAGAACACCTTTGCCTCAAGAGTTTCCGTGACGTCTATTTTGTGCTCCAGCAAAGGCCAACAAACATTTGCCGTGATTATTCTGTAAGAAAGCGCTTGGACTGGTTTCGTATGAGATCATTAATTGCCAGGGAAGATGACGACTTCCATGATAAAGATTTGTTGGTCTTTGTATGAAGGCAATTAGTATCACTGGTTGGAGGTATTTAAGCATAGGTTAGCAATAGAAACAATTTGAGTGATAATGACTATCTTCACAGTGCAGATGTATTTGACGAGTTTTGATTATATATTCCTCAGAAATGCATGCTTTTCTGACATAAAGAGGATCAAAACCGGTCAAATGCATCACTTACACTGTGTTGATGTTCATTCTCATTCTTGCCTTTTCTACTTTTGCCGCGGTGGACGTGGATCATAGGTTAGCAGTCGTTATTAGGCAATTGTGGCCGTACCATTACTTAGCGGAGATGATTTTGGAATATATGTTTCTCCTTCCTTTTCCATTTAGTGTTGCTTATGACCCTAGCATGATTTTGCCTTCAGTATAGCCCCTTTCTAGGCAAATACTGTGTTGTGTGTTGCCTTTTTATGATTATATTGATTTATTACTTGTTTTCTCTCATTGTCGTATCAGAAACTAGACATTCCATGTTTGAATGGTTTTTCCGTTATGATAGATTATATACATTCCCAGAATCAGGAATTAATATTTTTAGAAAGTGTTAGATACAATTGAAAATGGAGGATTAGTGTGCAGTAAGATTGCGGTTTGCTATTTCAAAGTATAAGTAAGAATTTAACTAAATTTGTAGCTTTTAAGATGGTAATTCTCTAGAATAGGACTGTAATGATGTGCTGAAAAATATGTGATATTATAGTATAAGGGAATCAGATTGACATTAACTGCCATAGAAATTGATAAGTGCAAGTATATTAAAAAGGATAGCGACTTAGAGACTACACTCCCGCAAAGGTCAACGAACCTCCACCATGTACAATATATTCTTTTAAGATAGAACTTGGCAATTTATTCAGCGAAGTGATGCCTCAGGATAGATAATGTTGTAATGATAACAGAGAGGGAATGTTTTTTAAGTTCTATCCTGTTTTTGCTTGTTCTCGGTATATATGTTGATCCTGTTCTTATATTTATCTAGAATGCGGTATTTCGTTTTGAATGCTTGAGCTGAGTCCACTATGTTTTTTCTTATATATATTAGGCAAAGCAATACAAATCAAAGCAAGTTTCAAGGAAATTTGAAGTGAAGTATAAGAAAAACTCCCTTTTTGGACATGATAAATTAAAGAGTTGGCAAAAGTTATGTGCTAGTAAATGAAATTCTTCAGAAGAATTAACATTGCATGTGACAAAGGAAATTTTTCACTTGGTAAATGAAAAATTGGTCAGTTTATTTTCATATATTTTTTAAATCTGAAATAAATGTTATGTTATATTTAACAGAGAATATATTAACTGTAGGTAAAGAGCCAACAAATATGCATAGTTCATATGATTAATTTTAGATTATCTGATATTTTATATCAATATATACCTTAATCTCTTACCCAGTGGCCCTGGATGGCAAAAAATATATGCCATG